TTATTGAGATCTCTTACTGTTTGGAGGTTATACATTATTATTCTGGCACACTCACGATTTTGCGCACCTAGGAGAGTTGTGACAGGCTGTCACAACTCTCCTATTTTATTTACTAACAAGTGATATGGCTATTTTGTATGNATGCTGTTTATTTTTTTCCAAATTTTAATTTTTTGCCTCTTTTCATCTCATAATCTTTTTTTTTCTCGAATTCAATTTTGAACCAAAGCGATGCCAAAACAGCCCGAAAAATCAAACAGGCATTTGGTAATGACGTTCATGTTTTTTTTTCGTCAACCAGCTATCGCACCCTTACGAACGATAACCCTCAGAAGTCGAAACTTGTGCGAGCTAAGAACTAACGAGGTCTTACCTTTTAACATGTGATTCCTAACAAGGGATGGACGATTGTAACTTAAAATCGAGCGTTCAGCCTGAGGCTTGAACCATCGATTCACACATCGACCGATTGACTTAGCGAACAAAGCACCTACGTCGAACCGCCGGGCTATCGACCGACCGCACTATTCGACGTTGGTTTGTGAATTTTCATTCCGGACATTTCAGTATCGAAGATTAGCCGCAAAGATGAGCCCCAACGTGATAATAGGCCCAAAAGATCCAGGACGAGGATTTGAGGACTCAGCTCCCATGGGGATCGAATCGTAACGTGTGATGAAAACTGGATCCTCTACGACAACAGGAGGCGTTGAGGAAATCAAACGAATAGAGCATCGAAGTTCTACTTCACCCACCATACTACCCAGACCTCTCGCCAACCGACTACCATACTTTCAAGCACTTCGATAACTTTTTCACCGGTAGAACATTTGCCAATCAGGACCAGGTAAAAACGGCATTCGTCGACTTCAACGAGTTCAGAGCACACAATTTTTATGCTGACTTTATCCAACTTTATTTATGTTTGCTTTTCCGTATAGGTGTCCACATCCAAAGAAGTGGATATTTCTGAATTCGTTTTAAATTGCCATTGGATCAAGTGGGATATCATATGGAAGAGGATGAAGTTCTGAGTTCATGAGTATGGATATGGTACAATAATAAATTAAACCAAGCGACAGAAAAACAATGGCACTTCCAGTATTTATAAAATATATTAGCACCATTACAATTCCTAATATTTGACACTGTCCCATCCGTTTCTTTTTTTTCTCATTAAAATATTATTGATTTTCGTTTAGATTGGTTTATGATTCTGAGAACAGATAATATGTACCATTGTCAATTTTTTCTATAGCCGGTCCAACAATTCTCATTTTTTCTATCCTTTTGTCATATTCATCTTACTTCAATACAATAACGGAATGATTTGAAATGTAAATTAAATCAATCATCTTACGGTCGTACATTTCCTTTCATTCATTCAACATGAATTCATCTTTGGAGTATATGTGCAGAATATAATTATAATTGAAATCAAATCAGTCAGTTGAGTGCGACAAGAAGAAAACATATGTTAGAAAAGAGTTTTCAAAGACTTCTTTACTACAATTATTTAGTTGAATTGAAATGGAAACATTTTCAAGAAAGAAAGGTTTTGACTTTCTACTTCTCCATCTTCATACAAAAAANAGTTAATATAATATCTAGAAATTAAGCTTCAGAAAAAACTTTCCAGACCTAACTAGTACATGCGTTGTATATTTATTTCACATAAAAACTTCAAAATACTACCACTAGTGACTTTCTGTGGTCAAACTGAAAATGGACAACTTTTCCAACGCCACTGGTAAATGAAACCAAAAATAGCGATCGTCTGTAAAATACCAGTGGATGGTGTTATGTTTTGAGTAATCAAGCTGTATTATCACGTATGTAAGTGTCCGAGTCTCCGGAGTTAAGTTATTGAAGTAGTATACGACGTACGTAGAATCATTGACAACGTTGCCGGTAGTAAGTTTAAATCCTAGATAGGTATGTATTCCTAATAATACTGATACTCGAAGCACCGATTCAAGAGACAATATCTATCACTTCTAAACAAACTAAGCTATTTGCATATGTGAAAATGTACATGTGAAAGGTACTCTGTAAGTATATTTTTCGATTCAATGTTCAACGATGATACTAAAATATGCTCAATATATATTCAGGCCGTTTTTTTAGCGGCAACCACTGTTGCTGATTCAGAAACTGCAAGACCTTCAAGGTCGATGAAATTGGACAAGAGTTTCGTATTTTGGGAAATTAAAATAATCTCTTCTCAGATTGAGAATATCAGTGGTTGTTTTTGAAATATTCGCCAAAAACTACGTTTGTTGAATTCAGTTTTATGACTCTACCACCTTCATTTCAAATGACAAAGAAGCAGTAAAACATTCACTGTTTTGAATTTGTAATGATCTGATATAAACCAATTTGCAATGCAACGTTTCGTTCATTAAATTTCATCATCAACTTTATTTTTTAAATATTGACCTCTAGTTTATTCATCAATTTCTGTAGCCACTGTAATAAATTCAGTTATATAATACAATACATGTCCGTATTTAAAATATAAGGTTGATGATAAAACATATTGAACGAAATGTCGCATCGCATATTGGTTTATATCAGATTATAACAAATATGAAACCGTATTGAAAGTTTCTGTGATTTTTTTATGCCGGCACAACCAAAAAACGAAATTCAACAATTTTAGCTTTTGCCGAATATTTCAAAAACAATCAGTGATTTTCGATCTGAGAAAATATTAATCCAGTTTCCCAAAAAAGAAAACTTTTGTCCAATTTAATCGACCTTATAGATCTTACTGTTTCCAAATTACGGCCTGTATAAATTACTGAGAGAGGATTTAGTTATATTCGTTGTATAAACGTGAGAAATCGCGAAGATTTTTTTTCTTTTTCGAACTTACTTATGTGTCTAGGCCTATGTTTTCCTATATTCTTGTCATATGTATGCAGTGAAATAATCCTGTTAATGAAAGTTAAACGCTTGCCACAAGACAAAACCTTAAAATTTAAATTCTGACTTTCATTCAAACACATGCAGTAATCATTTGTTTTTCTCTTCTTCGAGTGTCTGGAGTTGATTTTTCTTGAAATTTTTTCTGTATCTTTTCCCCTTCTGTCCTTCCTTTTGTCATTTGGCAACAGCGTACCGTTCAGAAGTGTATATTTACCATTTTTATGTTTTAGGTTATCTTCTCGAAAATAGTATTCCACAAGTTGTTAGTTATGAGAAATTTAAGTTCATTGGTAAAAATTTAAAAAGAGGTGAGTCAAAATTATTCAATTGCATTTCAAAATTTTCCAGAATATATTAAAAACATAAACTTTAAATAAACCGTTGTAAGAAGTAAACAATTCATTAGTACACAAAGGCGCGGTTAGCCGGCAAAGTGATCTCACTGAATCTGCCTGTTACGGGGGTGTTACGTGAAATACTTGGTTCAGGTATTCCGCGAGTAAGTTGAAGAGTTTGAAGTTTCGAAACAGGTGATTACCCACATGTAAATGCTATTACCAAACGTAAACCAATTGACAATGTTCTCAATTTCATACTTCAAACTTATTGATTTAAATCTATCATTGAAAACCAGTTATGTCAATTCTACGACTGAAGGTAGACCGGATGGTCTTCCTTCGGTATTGGATACCAATAATGTGGTCAATACGACAACGCTTCAAGTTGAAAAAACATTGCTCCATTTTCTAATAATTCGCGAATAATTCCTAAATTGAACCTTGAAATTGAAGACTGCATTTGTTGAAAGTTTTGAGCGTTTTGAACTTTTCAATATATATTCCCTATTTCTTGAATTGTACCAATGTGGGTAGTACGAAAATTCTTACCGCGAGAAGGCACTGAGGTCAGTTATCGTGGTTATTCGATATATACGTATGGAAACAATGAATTGTTTGAGTATCTGTTAGATTCTTTGAGATTTTTTAAAAATCTTCAAATTTAATTCCACTCGTTTCACGTCAATGCAATTTTCTAATTTTTGTTATTTTCGAATTATAATTTTGACGTGATTAAGTAGGTAATCTCTAAACCAATTGAGGAAAAAAGCTTTCATAACTTGTTTATTGGAATCGTTGAGATGAGCATAATTGGATATGTGAATACCTACTTCAGATATTCTGAATCCTTTGAAAAGAAAATTTTCCAATTGTTGAATAACATTTCCTTTCTATAACAATTATGGAAAAACCACAATGAAGTATTCTGTTCAACGTCTTGTGAGAAAGGTTTTATAAGTGTTAAGAAAATTTTTAGTTTTTATATCCGTTTTATCTCCTGTTGACAAAATTTCACTTTTTATAGGACTAGTTGAGATGAAAAAAATTTCGAATATTTCTAATCCTTGGAAAGTGTCAAGAATTTTCCTACTTTTGACTGAAAAGGGATAAAAATCTGAAATCGATATCTCATTTTTTCGAAAGATATGGTAAGTCAAACTTTTGCACTTAGCAGTCGGACGAACAGATGGACAGACAGACAAAAACTTTGGTGAATTACGATTTGTTTTTTTTCGATTCTTAACAATTTCTCAAAAGCAACCATTGGTCTGTCTCTTCAAATAAGAAAGTTGAAATCCTACTATGAGAACCGCAGTATACTATTTCTCTAGGTCGTGGTACAAAAGCACAACCAATATCTATCAAAATCGAATTCATACTATTGAAGTTTCCAATTCAACAAATGGTATGTGTTATATTGCAAAATCATTTCGTTGGAGGCAATTTTCGAAATAATATTAATTTAGTGTCACATATCTGCACACGCATCTCTGCGTAAAAATCCTGACTAGTTTCTCATAAAAACTGATACAGAAACGGATATAATGTATGTTTCAGACAGAACTTCAGATGAAAACTTCACAGAATAAATAATTAACTGACTATGTAATCGGCTATACCGCTAAGACTTAGATAATTGTATTATGAACGTCTAAGATGTCTATGGAACGTCTTTGGATTGTTGTTCAATTTGACAGGAACAATGACGCATTCTGCCGAAATAATAAAGTCATTTATGACACAGACAGTAAATGCCAAACAGTAATATTATGTAGTTCTAATAGAGAAGATGGCAATGCGTCCATATAAACAGGTCTCGTGAATGAATATAGAGTGGTGAATTTCTGCCAAAATATTCCAATTCATCCTTCCAGGACAGTGTTCATCATGGACTGTATAGACGTAGAAAGGTATTTATGAATAGTAGTACCACAAGACCTCAAAACTCAATGGATAAATTTTGAAAACGATGTTACCTAGCAGTACCATGAGAGCAAACAGCATGATAAAACCACCAGTCCGTAGAACGAGCGATTTTATCTATTTTTGGTTGTTTGATTGGTATTGCACAAAAATACCAAAGTTTTTTCAATTGATCATTTCCTTCAAATCGATGATACAGTAGAAATTCACTTTAAACCTAACCTCACTTAAACCCTTATAATACATCTTCAGAGCTTCAGTGTATTTTTTCCCACGGACTTTTACATGTAACCTCAAAATAATTTTTTATATTTTTTGCTTAATTAATTATTGTAGTCTTGTTAGAGGGACGAACATAAAATATTCCAAATATCTAGAGTGGAAAATCAACGTTAATTAGGTCTTCATTATTTCATTTTCTGGCCAGGCTAACTTCGTACCGTCTTCGAAGCAATAATTGGTATTAGCTAAGTTACGTTAACTTATTTCATTAGTTCGGATGAATTTTCAGACAATCAATAAAAAAATTATGTAATGTTACTCTAGTAACATATGCTATGTATATGCTCGAATTTTTTATTTGTATCTCTTCAGTCTTGTTGTCAGTCTATTTGCAATCCCTTTTTGCCTTATCTTCGATATGGGACTCACAAAATTACATAAATCATTAACATCAATAAAAAAGACCATTGACCCATTGTTGTTGTATTCAATGGGTCAATTAATGTTACAGAAACATTCTTAACTAGCCAAACCGTCTATAACGATCTTAATATATTCAAAACCTCATTATATTTTTTTGTACTTTCAGATTGCACCCAGAAATGGACGAAGACGAAGATCCCGGTGCTAAAAGAACTAAAAAATATAAAATAATCCTACTGGGACTTGCTGTTCATGCCCTTTTACTGTTCGCAGTATTCGATGTATACTTTGCCAGCCCTCTGGACCGCGGTATGACCCCGATAAGAAGCACTTCTTCCCCTCCAGCGAAAAGATTGGTTCTGATCGTCGCAGATGGTCTTCGTGCAGAAGCGATTTTCGGGGAAGACATGCGATACAGAGCGCCTTACCTGAACAGTATATTGAAGGACAAGGGGTCCTGGGGAGTAGTCCACACCAGAGTACCAACCGAATCCCGACCTGGTCACGTTGCTATGCTGGCCGGGATCTACGAAGACCCCAGCGCCATTTTGAAGGGGTGGAAGTCTAATCCAGTCTACTTCGATTCTGTGATCAACCAAAGTACCAACACCTGGGCTTGGGGAAGTCCAGATATTCTTAATATATTCAACAAGGATAAGTCTCAAAGAATACACCTCCATTCATACGATTCAGATATGGAAGATTTCGGCAAAAGCGATACGGGTGCTCTGGATACTTGGGTGTTTCAAAGAGTAAACCACTTCCTCAAAAATGAAGTTAAGAGGTGTGTTTTGAATTGTACCACATACTTCAGCAGAGGAAATTTATTCTTCCTTCATTTGCTTGGGATCGACACAGCTGGACATGGATACAAACCACACTCTATGGAATACAAAAACAATATAAAGCTTGTGGATGAAAATATAGAAAAACTGGTAGCTCTAGTGGAATCCGTTTTTATAGACAAAGCAACTGCTTATGTTTTCACCTCGGACCATGGAATGACTGACTGGGGTTCCCACGGAGCAGGTTCACCCCACGAAACCGAGGCCCCAATCATTGCTTGGGGAGCTGGTCTCAGAGAAAACAATGAAAGACAAGATATCAATCAAACAGACATTGCTCCTTTATTAGCGTCTTTGATAGGCATCAATATCCCAACTAACTCTCTTGGTTTTCTTCCTACTGGTTATTTATATGTCGGTATACGAGATATGTCTGAAATGGTCCTGTCAAATACTTTACAGTTATTCGAAATCTTCAAGGTCAAATTAATGAAGATTAAAACGAGTGCCTTGGTGTTCAAACCTTTCAAAGATATATCAGAAAGAAATTTGACAAGAAAAATGACTGCTTTGAAAAATTTGTTCAAAACCGAAGAATTCTTTGACCTAATAGACGAATGTAAAGAATTTCAAAGTTTTTTGGTTGAAGGAGTGAACTACTATCACAGCTATTACCACTATCCCGTGTTGATAAGTGTCAGTTTAGGTTTTATGGTGTGGATAGCGTTTCTAACTACAACTGTTCTAACTTTTGGAAAAAAACACATCTACCGTAAACAGAACAATACCTTATCTGGAGTATTGGTGGTGTTGGTTATTTATTTATGTTACATCAGCAAGTTTTCTTTGACGTACTATTTGTATTTCACTTTTCCCTTTATAATGTATTCCTTATCGTTCAAAAATTTTGAATTCTCTGACATTTCTTCAAAGATTTCAATATCAAACTTGATCAATATCATAGTTTACGTTGCTGGCATTGAACTGCTAGTATACGGTTTTTTCGACAGGTTTGCATTCACTGTCATCATGATTATTATGGCCATTTGGGTTTTAATTCCAGTAAGTTTGAGAGTGAAGCCGTCTAAGCTTGAAAAAATGATGTGGGTGATATGCTGCACTGTGCTTGCTTTTTTTCCAACACTTCCTGTGATGAAAACTACCTTCAATGTGCCAATGTATATTCTTGGATACTTAGGGTGGGTTGCTATTTTCACTAGAATGTACCTCAAGGAGTTCAAGGTGTACCAGAGAATGGAAGGTCTTACAGTTGACTATAAAGTATTACTAATTCAATTTGTGTCCCTTCAAGCAGCAGCTTTCTACATTATTCTGCTAGAGTATGAGTGGATTTTCCCAGATTCCTTCCTGAAATATTTGTCGTGGATTTTACTCATATTGCCAATAATTATTATACCATTGAGTAGTAAATTTATCATCCTCAGACTAATAGCCACCTTCTTTGGATTCGCACCGTTCTATTTGCTAGTTTCTCCAAATTATGAAGTTTTGTTCTCCGTGTTCTATGTGGCTTTACTATGTATTTGGTTGATAATAGAAACAAAGCCCTTGCACTATGGGGATTCTTATAATCTCATTTACTATTCTAAGTTTGAGGACTATAAAGGCAAGAACAAAATTACCTCAGACATGTTCAGAAGAGCATTTTTCTTCACAGTTTTCATCTTCTTAGGTTTCTTTGGAACAGGAAACATCGCAAGTTTGAACTCTTTTGATCCGATGTGGGTCAGAGCCTTTTTGACGGTGTTCAGTCCCTTCACAATGATGGGCTTGATTCTGTTGAAGTTCATGGTGCCATTTATTTTTTCGTGTAGTATTTTCAGAGCTATAAACTCGGTTGGTAAGGAGAATGTTTTGAATGTCTTTTGTATTATCCTAATTTTTTCTGATCTCATGGTGGTGCAGTTTTTGTATTTGATTACTAACGAAGGTTCTTGGTTGGATATTGGAACCAGTTTGTCTCATTTCATCATAATGGAGGGGTTCGTTACAATTTTGTTGTTATTGTATGGAGTAGCTCATTGGCTGACAAGTATCAGTTACAAAATTTGAAAAATAAGGAAGAAAAACTGATCAATTGGTTCATAATACATACTTGCTACGTAGTTCCTTTTCTAACAATCCAGTTTTCTGGTATAGTTCTTAAAATGTTGACCGTTTATATTTCATGTTATAGAATTATTGCATGAGAACATTTAGTTGAAATGGTTGATTTATATGTTTGTTGTTAGGTATTACTTTATTTATTCAATTATTTTCATTTGCTCATTAGTTCATTTGTAAATATTAGAAATAATATCTTGGTATATTGATACTAGTTGTATTAAAATAAACTTTTAAATGAAAAGGGTTATTTCTTTTAGAAGAGATACGTTTTTGGACACAAAAACTTCTTATATGAAGATGGATAAGTACCAGCCAAAACGCTTTTTTCACAAAAAAAAATCATTCCTAAATTCATTTCTCAATCGTTTTTGACGTTTGCTGAAATATATATTTAATGATTCTTTGAATATTCTATACCTAATGATGAACTTGGTTCACAAGCAGGATCAGGAGGATCATACAAGATCATATTATTGCTGAATTGGATTCAAATGGAAAAAATTAATATTTCAAAAAATATTGCATACATCCATATTTATCCTCAAATTCAAATAAAACCCTCCAAATTATTATTCACAATGATATGTTCACTTGTTTCTCCTAAAAATTATATATTTGAATTGTACATCACATCAAAACGCTTTCTGGAAGGTTAATTTCACAAATCTGCAAATTGCTTGCGGCAAAGTCATTATTTGCCGTATAGCCCAAGCGACTTAAACAAAAAAGGACTGATTTCCACTATAATTATTGGGTACCATAGAAAATGATACGAATAATGTCTTCAAATAGTTTTCATTTCAAACATTGGAAACATTGTTGAATATTTGAAAACATGTTTGGATTTAACAGAAAACACGTTTTTTAAATATTGCTTCGGCACCTTTGTAGATGACCTTACCAAAATTTCAGGGTTTGTAGAATTTTTTAGGACGATTATTTTGCAGATCGGATCTTGGCCAGATATAAACAATTGAAAATAAAAAATGGCAGAAATTTTAAATATTTCTCAGTTCGCCAAAATCACCCTACCAAAAAATGTGTACATGAAAGCATGGAATTTTTTTGCGAGATGATGCGAATGTTCGTAGAAAATGGGCCAAATGTATCGTGAAAATTAAGTTCTGAACCCTTCCCCGGGGGGTGATTGGTACCATCAGTGGCTGGTACTAGTCGAACTGATGAAACCACCGCATAGCGAAACGTTCGTTATAAGTTACATATTTAGTATCTAACTTTTATTTCATCTGAACCGATATCCATTGACACAGTTCAGGCACTTCTACTCATGGAATATTTTATTCTATTTAGTGAATGAAAAATATTGGAAAACTATGAAATAGACACTTTTTATATATTTTGCTCAACTGAAATTGGTTATTTTGATTTAATTGGGCCTCTTTATTTATGAGATATATGTTTCTACCTACTTCAGTAAATAGAAAATATTAGAAAATTATATGGAATAAACTCCTAACTATAATTTTCTATACAGTGCATTTCCTTTAAAACGAGCCACCCTGAATAACTTTTGGTACAATGATTTGCATAGTATACAGGGGGACACATTTTGACATGTTCACATTTGATGTTACTTCCCCTATCGCACCCCCAGGGCATGTCACCAATTTTGTTCAAATGGATCATGCTATATTGTTTCGCATTATCAGGTGCTTCATGATGAGCAGATTTCAAGAAAGTATAAAACATATGGTCTGAAGCTTATGGTTCGGGAGCTACAAATTATTTGAGTTGAAAACGAGCCACTGTGAATAACTTTTGGAGCAATGATTTTCAGGAAAATAAAAAAAAACACCTCAACAATAGTATTCACATTCGATCTAACTTTCCCTATTGAACCCCCAGAGCATGTCACCATCTTTTTCAATGGATCAATTGTTTTGCATAATCAGATGTTCCATAATGAACGAATTTCAACAAAGTAGGAGACAATATGGTCTGAAGCTCATAGTTTTTAAGATAAAAATTATTTGAGTTGAAAATGAGCCACTCTGAATGAATTTCTGTTACCTAGGTTTTATAGGCGTTTTTGTGAAGTATACTTTAAAAAAGTCTTATTTTGCCTAGTTGAGTTTGAATTTGGTCAATCTAGACATTGGAAGGTATATAAATTTACAACAAGCTGCAAACCCGTGTAATTGTTCAAAACATAGTTGCAGCTTTAATATTTCGCGTGCAATCATCATAGCCATCAAATACGAACGTAATTTTGGCACCAAAATGTCTACGTATATACTGAACGTATTTATCTAAAATAATGCTAAATGTTTCTTCACTATCGCACACAACACGATGTAGTAAGTATCCACCGTCAATGATGTATGTCGTATTAGTATTGTTAATTTCAATATTGACCTGTTGGAAACAACACTTCTGTGTTTTACGCATCCCGAGGTCATCAAACAACGATGAAGGGTAGGGAGCCAATTCATATTCAAAATATTTCTCAATTTCATCTTAAAATGCTGCAGTACTACTCATCGCTAAAAGAGGAACAACTTTGTCCGCGCGTTTAAATTCATCATTGAATGTTAGTCCTGTTATTTTCGCCATAGAGGAAAGTCCAACTTCACGAGCTTTATAACAGTTTATTTTATCAGCACCAACGACACCACTTGCATTAGATATAATTTTGTTTACCTCTGAAAAAGGGTCATGTATTGAGAACCACTCTAAAAGTTTTCGGATGTCCTCAGCATCTTTTTTTACTCTTGAGTCAGTCGCATCAACATGCTGCTCGATCGTATCCTTCCTAACATTAGCGATATCTTCTAATTTTTCACACACTGTATTCATTGCATGCATACTATAAACCCATTTACTTATAACACTCTCTTTCGTACTTCTCCCTCGAGCAATACCTCCATCGGTCTTCATAGTCTGACAGTAAAAAACCTTTACTAAATTTTTCGTACACTTCGGGATCTATCAAATTTTGTAATTGTTGCATATCCTGCAAGTAAAGGTGTGCAGACTTAGCATAAAGAAAATGTCAAGATTTACACTTATGTATACCAATAAAAAAATATTTTTACTTAAATTACAACTTCAGAGATGTATATACGTGGCATACTTATGCAGATTACAACTTTTACAACTTTTTGACTCGTCGTATCTCAGAAACGGTGGCTCTAAGAAAAAAAGTATTGATACATTTTTTGTAGAGAATTTAATGATCTACAATTTTTATCTGAGGTTTTTTTATGATAATCGCGTAATTCCTGAAAATCGCGAAAAACCAATTTTTTTCCAGATTTTTGACCTTTGACCTCGAATAATTTTTTTTCCAGGCATCGCAATCATTCGGAATTTCAAAATCTTATTTTTAACTATGTTTAGAACAATTACACGCATTTGCAGCTTGTTGTAAATTTATGTCCCTTCACTCTTATTTTTTAGTCTAATTTGACCGGACTACAGGTGAAGTTACAATTGGTGTTTCTGTTTTTATGAATTCTTGAGAAGCAATGGTTTATACTCTTCGAAGACGGGTGAGTTTGAACTACCAGAATGGAAATAGTGATAGAGCTGCTGCCTATATGTTCAGTGATAATCATCCAGAAATGAAAAAGGGTCACAAATACGTTTGGGAATTATTCAGCAAATTTAAGGAAACTGGATCTGTTACCAATAAAAAGCATAACTGTTCAGGAGTTGTCAAAGATGAAGCTATTTGTTTATGGCAGTTTTAGGGCACGTTGGACTAATGGAAAACTATTACTAAGTTATCACGAGAATCAAGAATCGGTCGTAAAAATCATTTTAGGATCCTTCATAAATACAAATTTCATCCATATAAGATTAGACTAGTTCATGAATTGAACGAAGATGATTTCGGTAGACGTATCGAATTTTGTGAAAGTCTCACTCCACGGATTAACTTGCATCAGAAATTCTTGTTTGAATGGAGAGGTGAATCGGCAAAATTGTCAGTATTGGAGTGATACGAACCCTCATTTATATCGTCAAGTTCATACCCAACGACCACAAAAACTGAATGTTTGGGAAGGAATTTTAGGTGACCATATCATAGGACCTTTTTTTATCGACGATAATTTGACTAGTGATAAATATTTGGATATGTTGGAGAATCGAATAATACGGTGCATCAATAGGGCAATTGAGAATGATATAAATTAATTCGAAAACAAAATAGTTTTTCAGCAGGATGGTGCACCTCCTCATTTTGCAGCTCCAGTGTGACAATTTTTGGATGATCATTGTCCTGGTCGCTGAATTGGCAGAAGAGGTCTTACAGAATGGCCACCAAGGTATCCGGATCTCACTCCTGTAGATTTCTTTCTATGGGTTCATTTGAAGTCTAAAGTGTATCATATGGAATCAACAACAATAGAAGATTTGAGAGAGAATATCATGAGGCAATTCAGGTAAATAACTCCCAAGATTCTCAACCATGTGAGGGCGGCAATGGAAACTCGTTTGTACCATTGTATTGGAGTTGGTGGAAAAGTGTATGAACATCTACTATAGAATTTTTTTTTTCTCATTGTCCAGTCATTAGATTTTGATTCAATGATTATTTAAAAATCTTTTTTTTTTTGATTTATTGCTTCCATTCGTCTCTAGAACGAATAATTGTTTACCTGTTTTTTATTTTTCCTGCAAATCATTGTTTCAAAAGTTATCCCCCGCTAAACTTCTGAACAAAACATAGTATCAAAGCCGGACAAAATTTACGTCGAAAGGTTTAATTTCCAGTACTTTTTTGAACAAAAAATGACAATAGTGTTGCACCACTCGTCGCCAGGAAGGCGCTTTCATTTGTTTTCCAAATTGAAAGTGGTGGGTCTTGACATAACTCGTTTGATAGGTATTTCAATTATCTATCCAACATTTATTAATTTTTGTAAATCGTATCAGTCTTTCCTGAAAAATTAGCAGTTATATTCTAGTTTCACAGTGTTTTGTCACCATACTGGAGTAATTTCGTTAGCAGCACCTCTTATTCTAATCATGAGCTCTGAAGTAGAGTGCGGTTGTGTAACATAAACTTTAGATTTCATCAATCCTCACAAATATCTGAGAGTTTCATATCAGGTAATGTAGCTGGTCGCTCTTAGGGACCACATTCACTTGTTCACCTGCTGAAACCTAATATTATTCGAAAACTCAGTCAAGTTTGTCAATTTGCCAAACCGGTAGGCAGGTAAACGTGCTGAAAGAGCCCACTGGATCGCTTGATATGACGCCTCTA